GGGGTGGTGTCAGCCAGCAGGAGGGCGAGTTCCTCCTGCTTGTTCCCCATGCTACGGGCATTAGTGTAGAGGCATTTCAGGCCTCCTGGAGATGTGGTTACTGACCCCCTAGTCCCAGCGTTCCCCTTGTCCCCTTCTTTTACCTGTATGTCTGCTGAGTTTGCCGGTCCGGGCTGGGCTATAGTTGCGGGTGCCGGTCTGGTGTATCCTCCGCCCTCATCTTCCCCTTCCCCCGACGAGCCTAGTTTAAAGCCCGCCGGAGGAGGTCCACCAGCCAGTTGTTTTCTCGATGTCTTTTAAATTATCTTGTACTGCACCTGGTACCTTAATGCCAAGATGCATACGTTTCATTGATCATTAGGGTATGTATATTGATTCAGGGGTGGCCAACCTGGGGAGCACATGCCACAAATGGAACGGACAGCCTGTGTGCATGCGTGTCGTGGCAAATCAGTGCGTGTGACAGCCTGTGTGCGTGTGTCATGTGGCAAATCAGGGAGGTGGTAAGCAACACTGTGGTAGATAGGACACAAAGCAGAAAGTAGAGCAGCAGATAGGGAAGGAAGCAGAAAGCAGAGCAGCAGATCAGGCAGGGGAAGGGGATCAGAATGGCACTCAGGGAGGATGCACAGCTAATTTGTGGTATGCCTGCTAAAAAGGTTGACCCCCACTGCATTGCATTGTACTTATGCTGTCAGCCAGCACCATCCTAACAGGTTACGTCCACTGTCTATGACAAAATACCGCTGGAGCCTTTGTGAAGAGCTGCTTTTGCCGGCTGTGTGTATTTCACAATTGATGACTCGATAGTAAACTCGCAGATTGTAGAAGCTAACACTGGCAGCTAGCTATGTACTAGCAGACTGGAAAATAGACTCTTGCTTGACAGAGCCCATAGACTCTTGATAATGACCTCTACCTTATTTTGAGACATTTGGAATATAGTGAGCAGCAGGGAATAATTAGGTGGGAGTAAGATATAGATTGGGCAGAAAAAAAGAATATTCCACCTTTCCTGAAATTAGTGCAATTCATCTATTTTACCATTGCTTTGCAGCATCTTTTTGGCAAAGCATACTTCAGGCTGGGCCTAGTGTTCCCCTCAGTGGCCATGTTTACATGTGCACTTAACTGCAGAATAGACTAATTAGCTGCAAAGTAAAGCATCACCATCTACACGTGTGACGAAATTAGGCTGCAGTAAAGTAACACTACTGTAAGAGAGTATTGTTGGGGACAATCCTGTCTTATGGCGGGGTAATTACATGTAGTTAAATGCACATGTAGACACTGTGCCTG